AACTTGTGGTCCAAACCTTGTGGTCCATGGTCACCCCAAGATATGATGGGGTTTCAAAAGCAATACCTTTTCCATGCAATATCAATTTCAAACAGTAGTTGAACCTCTTACGGTTTGTGATGAAGTAGGTGGACTTTTTGTTGAATTCAACTGGAATTTGTTACTTTTGTCCATCTAGTTACAATTCTGAATCTTCATTCAATTCATTCTCCAATACATCTATTTCATGACTTGTGATATGATATGCATACGTGCATATAAATGTTTCCAAGCTGCCTGACAATCCCAAGGAATATAGCAGGAAAAGAAGAGGACTTAAAACTGAGCCCCAAGGAACTACTGCCCTGAGTGGCCTTGTCTTTAAAAAAGTATCATTTAGTCTTGCTGTTATTTTTCTTTACAGTAGGAAATTTTTATCCAGAGGCATATTTTGCCCCAGATTCCCACTGTATTTCTAAGAACTTATCATGCCAGACTCTATCAAATGATGCACTGAGATCCAAAGAGACTCCTGTTGATGACTATGGTGGCTTTTGTTGGAATCCATCAACAATAGGCTGATGGCAGCACACCAATAAGTCTGAAATTGAGTGTAAGTGCCATTATGCCATTTGGGTAGATTATATCTTCCCTTCTTTTAGAAGTCACCATACAAATCTTGATTGTATCATTCTTTTCATTATCTTGCAAAGGTGACTGGTTAAAGATCCAGGGAAACAGCTGCCTAGAAAAGAGGGATCCTTGCCAGTATTAAGAAAAGGAACAATAACTAATGACATCCAGCAATTAGGTACCTTCCCTTTTATCCAGGATTCATTTCTGATGTCCAACAACATCACAACGTGGTGGATTTAGCTTTATTCCCAAAGTGCTTTTATCACATAGCCACAGATGAAGTCCAACCCTGGAAACTTGCTTTGTTCAAGCTTCTCTATTGCATCTTCTAGCTCATGTATGAGAAAGAGCTTTCTGAAGTCAGGGCACTCAGTTGGATCGGTGTGCAAGCTTTTCAATTGTCTTTGTCTTTCATCTTGACTACTTCATCTTGTGTATTTTGCAGTGACTCTATCCTCTTCTTTATACATGAGAATGCTAGTCTTAACATAATATTTAACCAGTATATTTGCAGAATCTTTGTCATCTAATGCTTCTACATCTCCATTTTTCAGAATATTAGTGTTCTTTTGACTGCAAGCCTTTGTCTGTTTGGTTTCAATTTGTTTCAGTATCTTGCATTAATCTTTTCATCTGTTAGGATCCAGACTTTCACAAGTCTCTTCCAATGCCTTTGTTATTCAGCTATTTTCACAGCAACCTCTTTCAAGACTTCGCTCTATTTTCTTCTGGCCTCTTTGTCTCTGGGGTTCCAGCTAAATTCCAATCTAACTTTATTTTTAATAATACTTAATAACACCTTTTGTACCAATATCATTCCAAAGTGGAACCCATTTCTTCCTCTTACCTCTTAGGATGTTCTCTTTTGCTCAGTTCTGCACAGCAGATTCAGATACTATATAGATGTTTGAGAAATAATATTCTCAGGTTGGTCCTATTTCAGAGACACATCAGCCTTATGAAAATTACACCACCTATTTTTCACGTGAAAGCTCACTATCTTCCTATTCCAACACATGAGAACAGGTTGATGATCACTTCCAACATCCTCCAACACAGTCCATGTGCAGCTCATAGACATGCTGCTGCTCACCAGAATTGCATCTAATGCCAACTGTGTGCCGTACGATCTTGATGTATAATCATGGTCTCATTAATCAAGACAACTAAATCATTGTCAGCTGTAAAGTCCTGTGGCAAAGTTCCATTCCAATCAATGGTTCTGTCCCCCCAGACTTCACTTTTGGCATTGAAATCTCCACAGATAACTGTGCGGCTGCATTTTCCAAATGCTGTTTCAAAATTCTCTTTATCAATTGAGCTACCATCAAAATGGTAGACATTAAAACTCTTAGCTCCTCACCTCTTCCCCCTCCCCACCCTGAACTTGATAGTGATGCAATCCAACTCAGTATCTGTGTGCATCTCATACACTTCCATTATCTTTCATATTTGAGTGTCTCCCTAATAATAAACAACAGTTAAAACCTACAATGGATATACTTTGTCTATCAGAAAACTTTGTTTCTTGTATGGCTGCAACATGGATATTTTCCTCACAACAAACTTTTTCTACTTCTCTAATATTTTCAAATGCCAATTATATTCAAATGTGTGGTGTTAAAGGGGTCTTTAGCATATTTCTTGATACCTTCTCCAGAAACCACAGGAAGTGATACATCAGTTTCCCTGTTCACAGTAGCAACATGTTTCTGAAATTCTCACCATAGGGTTTTGGAGGAGATATGGTTGCCAGAGCTATGTTAGCCAGCAATTTCTTTTGGGAACACCCTAATAGCATGATGAAGTGAGGACAGTCTTTGCTGGGATTTCTTTTCACTCCTTCTAGATCCTTTTCCTAATCCAGGAGCTTCCCTGCAGCTCTCTTCCCTCCCTACCAACTGAACTACTTGTTAGTCTTATCTCCCCATGTAGGAGACACCTAGCTAGTCAAAGGTGAGGCTTTGTCCAAGTCTCTTAAAGGGGCCCTCTCAACCTGTGACAGTTACAATATGTTTAATTGATTTAAACCAAATATATTGTAACTGTCACAGGATGGGAGGGCCCCTTTAAATGAGTTGGACTTCGCCATACTTCTGACTAGCTAACTGCCTCTTAGATGGAGAGATACAAAATTAGCAAATAGCTCAGTTATTGAGAAGCTACAGGGAGGCTCTTGGGTCAAGGGAAGGGAGAAATGCCACACCAGATAAGTACTTGAGTGGGGATATCTGCTGTGTAGGCAGCAGAAGAAGCCCTCTGAGTCAGGGCCGTTAAGAGATCCAGGTGGCAGAACCTGGTCTGATTGACTGATGTTAAACTTTGATTATATTTGAATGTTAAATGCATCCAGGGGGAAAGGACAGGAAATAATGACACTTGTGGGAGTTACATTTGCACAACTGACCAGTGAGTTGACCCACTGACTTGCACAAGTGGGGAAGCTGAGCAAGTTGGGCTTTGATGCCAGGTTTGGGAAGACCATGTTACATTAATATACAAAGATATCAGAAAAGAATTTCCAGTAGCAGACGCCCATCAGCAGGAAAGGGCCAGGTCAGAAAGTGAAGAAGAATGTTCATAATCCAGATGTTGCAGACACTCTCCAACTAATTCATCATTGGAGTCAATGGGACCCTTTCCTGAGCAGATGTAGGTCCACCAGAGGATAGAAGGAAAAACTGTCAGTGGTATCTGACCTTAGCATCTGACTTCAAACAGCTACTTCAACATTAGTTCTTTTGCCTGCCATGTTAAAACACAAACATAAGTGCAAGCATTACAACAGCATTCACACCAGGGATCGGCAACCTTTGGAACGTGGCCCATCAGGGAAATCTGCTGGCGGGCTGGGCCACTTTGTTTACCTGCAGCATCCACAGGTTTGGCCGATCGCAGCTCCCACTGGCTGCGGTTCACCATTTCAGGCCAATGGGGGCTGCAGGAAGCAGCACAGGCCGAGGGATGTGCTGGCTGCCGCTTTACCCTGGCGGGCCATGTGCCAAAGGTTGCCGATCCCTGACTAACACCCACATAATTTCTCATACAATTGTCTCACCTAATCAGCACTTACACAGGTTACACCTGGTACCCTTTAAGATCTCAGCCCTTCCGTAAAATATCTCCAGCAAGTCGATGATGATGATGAGTAATTCATGGGTTAATCATCATCACCATCAACCTATATTTTCTCTGCAAACAACATTTTTATACCTTGACTTGTAGGGTCTGGTAAAAAGCCCTTTGAAATCAATAGGATTCTTTCCATTTGCTTCAATGGGCTTTGGATCAGGCACTATGTGGTGAACAATTTTAAAAGGGATCCATTTTTCTGTAGTGTTTAGTACTATTTATTACTCCTACCAACATTGTAGCACGTGTTGTAATTATTTTATTCCTTGTTTCCTTTCCTTATACATAATTTCTTGAGCCAACTTTTCATTTATTCCAAAACTCCCACAATTTAGACATGTGATTAACCTCAGATGTGTAACTTTGTCAAAAATGCTTTCCTAAAGAAAAAATAGCCTTGTCATTTCATTAGAAAATTTGCACTTGGGTTCAGAAAGAATTCTTACTTTAATCCTCTTTTAATCATCAAGGTTGCACTGTCTTCCATCATAACCTTTGATTTCTGGGAAGAAGCTAAAATAATTTCCTTTGCACAAAATCCTGACATATGAAGTCCTTGTCATGACATTAATTTAGTTATTGAACTCATGATGAATTTATGTAGGGAGATTTTTCTTTTCAAAAACTTTTTTCCAGAGAAATGCTCAGAATATATTTACATATTCTACCCAAGTACACCTTGTTAAGCCTTTGGAAATAGGTTTTTTTTTTTTTCATATTTAGACTCCCCTTCACTAATAGCTGGTTTTCACAAAATGATAACCTGGTCCAAATTATGAAGATCTCCCTTTCATTATATTTCCAAGGCTACCTCACTCTTCCCCCATCCCCCCCCATGAGATTTATTTCTGCATACAGGAGCAAACAATCTGCATGTTTCCACTCACTCTTTCCTTAGAATTCTTCCTCTGGGAGATGGGATGAGAACACTGGGCTTTGCCCCCTAATAAGGTTATTGTTGTATTTGATCACATCACATCATTAACATATTTATCCTCTCAACAGCCCTGTCAGATAAGGACCATTTTACAAATGGGGAAGTGAAGCCCAGAGAGACGAAAGGTACATCTACGCTGGAGGTGTAATATCCAGTTCGGGTGAACATACGTGCACTAGGTTTGATTAAGCCCAGTATGTACCTAGGGTCTCAGACAGAATTGTAGTTGGGGGCAACTAGCTCCCATGCTGCCACAGCTACCCTGCTATTTTTAGTGTACTATCTTCCCCAGTACGGTTCTGTCTGAGACCCTAGGTATATACTTGAGTGGCTAGCGCATCCTGCTGTCTTTGCTGCGTGTCTACACTGCTATTTGATCAAGCTTGCGCAATTATACTTTCAGCTCCAGTGTAGACGTATCCTAAGTGACTTGCCCAAGGTCACACAGGAAGTCTGTGGTACAGAAGGGAAAAGGAACTGAGGTCTTCTAAGTCCCAAATGTTAACCACAGGACTATCCTTCCCATGAAAGGAGCCAAAGATTACACTCTCTAAAACTACGTATTTGTGAGTACTGCTGGTCAAAAATTCTCCTTCAAAACTGTTTTTGACAGAAAATTTAGCTTCTGACTAAACAACTTTTTTCACAAAAAGGGACCTCTTCCTGCAGATTAAGCCTCATTTCCTGGCCCATCATATGATATGAATCAGTATTATTATGGCAAAAATTTTGTGAACAATTCATATGCTGAAAGGAGGTTTGCATAAAACAGTAATGAGATAATTCTGAAGTATGAACAGATTTGTAAAAATCTAAATCTGTACATGGAAATTTGTAAACAAAAAAGCTAAATTCTGCAATAAATTGTTCACCGCACATAATTTTGCCCGTTCTAATGCTAACAAATAACTTTGCTGACAGAGCTAACTTAACATGATGATTTAAGAGATTTTCTTTCTTCACAAACAAACATTCAATAGTAGTTAGCTTAAAAAATAAAACATTTTAAATGCTTTTACTGGAATTCATATGCAAATAATTCATATTATAAAAAAATCATACAAAGGCCAGTATGTGTATTATATTCACATAAAGAACAATAGAGGTGGAAGGTTAGCGATCATATTAAAACCAGATTAGACACTTTGTTTGCAACACATTAAATAAAACTAATAAATATGCAAATTAGATTATTATTATGTAAATTGCACAATTTCAATATTCTGGTGAAGAACGATATCAACAATTTCAATTAAAAATTACAGTTGTCTACGTATTATAGTTTTTGAGCAGGAATTACTTGACAGCATCTAAAATGTTGAGAAATGATTATTTCTTTATTACATTCCATTTTACATCAACTCCAATCAGAAGCTAAATGCTATTATAGAAACGAGTGTAAAAGCTGTACTAGACAGTTATATTTCCTACAGCTTCATTCATCATAGAAAGTGTCTTATGAAATGAATCTCTTGAAGAAGACAGAAACTTTACTGTTGTCCTTCTGGTAAATTCTCCTTCAAAGCAAATATTTTCTCTCTCTCTTAGAAAAGCTTGCGTTTCTTCTTATTTCTGTTTGAGAAAGAAATGCAAACAGTAATAATGGGGATGATGTTTTAATGGAATCTTACTATTTGGTTTTATTCAAATGCATTTTAATCCCACTCACAATGCCTCTTAAAAGATTTTCATAGCAAAATGGGCTAGCCTTCGCACCCACTGACAAGTGGTCATCTAAATATTTTCGTGAAATCTTTAGAATGTTGAAAAATTTCATATTGATGGCTGTGCTATGGTAACTAATAGCAATTAGGACATAGTCTACAGTGGAAATCAAGTGATACAGTGAGCAAAGAATTCTAAAATTGTATTGATAGGAAGCTGACATTGAATCACTGGTGGAAGACTGTTTATTATTTAATGGCAATATGAGTCTCTATGTTCCCCTCTGCTGCATTATGTGCACGGAGAACAAAAGCATGGAAACATTATGCAAAATATGAGTGGTAGGCAAGGCAGAGGAAACTGGTTATTATTTATTCACCCCCACCAAGTAACCACATGCAGGGTCACTGCTCCATTTCTGCAATAAACTGGACACAGTAGGGAAAAAGATGAAAAGAAAGGGAAAGGATCCATGGAACCTTTCTGTTCTACAAGGTATAGTCCCATTGGAAATCACTAATATAATCACTGTAGGATCTGCTGGCAAACTGTTTAAATTACTGCTGCCCTGAGTAGCATTAATTCACCTTATGTGCCACTGGTGGGCTCACATGGTAGCAGGTGGTGGGGCAGCTAATGGTATCAGTTTGGTTTTGCTACCCATGATGTTATTGCTAATGATGGGATTAGGAGGGGTTCAGAGGCAGGGAACTTGTGTAGATAATCCAATATACCAAGATCTTCCTCCACTTTTTACCCCTGCTTAACACACATCACCCCAGCCCTGCCTCACTGTGGGGATGGTGTGGAAAAAGGAATCTTTTGAGCTCCTAAAGTCAGGCGTTCCCTTCTGTGCATTTTGAAATGGAAAGGAAAGATATCTCATGACAATTTACAAAATGTTAGTGAGATCTGTGAGGCTAATGTCACATGTTTCAGTTCTCATGTTCTACCTAACTAAGGGCTAACCTCTTCTCAGACTACATGCCCACACAAGTTTAAGAGGGAGTAAGAAAATCTGCATGAGTTACCTGGAGATAAGGTTCAGGCATGAAGGAATGAGTGTGAGCTGGGCTCTGAGCCAAATTCTCTCTTAGGGCTACTGTGGAGAGTGGTGTAACTTATACAAAACCCCTTACTCCAAATTATACCTAAAGTCAAATATCAGTCCACTCTGAGTATTTAGTTTCAAAAGATCATGGTGGAATAGTGACACTGGAATAAACAGGTCAATTTGCATACTGATGTGTAAGTGTTCACTGTCAAATCTAGTTGCAGCTTAACAAGGGCATAATAGTCATAGGTTCAGTTAGCCGGCCAATTAATTATATGGATTTGCTATGTAAGGTCCAATTCACTGAGGCATTGTAGTCATAGTTCAGGGATATCAAGGACATGATAGGGCTTGGTATGACTGGCAAGTGTAACTATTGAAGATAGATTTACAGTCAGATATTTGCATAATAAAGAGACAGATGGAACAGGAGCAGGCAGAAGAGGTTTTAGGTTTAAAGGGTGTTAGTAAAAAAAAAAATCATTCCTTTAGTGAAATCAGTTTGAATAATACAAATGTTGATTAGTCACTACATTTCTCTGGGCCAGAGGGAAGAGATTGTATGAGCTAATGGGTGAAGATTGTTATCAATGGCTGTAAAGGTTTTCCTGAGATTGCTTTTTTCAGCAGCAATTAACCCTGAGTATAAAGAACTTTGCCCAAATGCCACTCAGATAAAGGTGCTGATACTCTTTCCAGGAAAAATAATGAACTTAAAATACAGAGATCCTTCATTGCCACTTAAGCTTTTGACTAGAGGTAGATGCTGTAGGATCATTTGTATGTTTTCAGAGAGAAATGCAGGACAAAAGCACTTGGAAAAGGAACAATGTAATCAGTAATATGAGTGAGATTAATGTGGTAAAGATAATCAGCAGTTTCTGTCTGTTGACCAAACCAGTGAGGATTGGATTTTACAGAAAAAAACAGAAGGACAAAGAGGACAAAAATAATGGCTACTTAGCCCTGGTCTACACTACGAGTTTAGGTTGAATTTAGCATCATCGTTTTAACCCTGCACCCGTCCATATGACAAAGCCATTTTTGTCAACTTAAAGGGCTCTTAAAATCGATTTCTGTACTCCCCCCCAAGGCGGGGATTAGCACTGAAATCAACCCTGCTAGGTCGAATTTGGGGTAGTGTGGATGCAATTCAACGGTAATGGCCTCCGGGAGCTATCCCAGAGTGCTCCATTGTGACTGCTCTGGACAGCACTCTCAACTCAGATGCACTGGCCAGGTAGACAGAAAAAGCCCCACGAACTTTTGAATTTCATTTCCTGTTTGGCCAGCGTGGCAAGCTGATCAGCACAGGTGACCATGGAGTCCCAGAATTGCAAAAGAGCTCCAGCATGGACCGAATGGGAGGTACTGGATCTGATTGCTGTATGGGGAGACGAATGATGTTCGTCCATCGTTATCGATGAAGACCTCAACAACTCATTCTTTCGATGACCGGGCTCTGTGCATCCGAAGATGACTGATCAGTCCAATTCGGGTGTGGAACGTCCTATCACACGTCAGGCAGACATGTAATGGCACTGTCAATGATGTACGAGCAGCTCTGGACTTGCGCAGCTCACGCTTTTTTTCAGCCTCAGCAATACGCCTCGCCTCAGAGGTATTACTGCCTGTGTGAATGAGGCTGCGCCATGCTGGACGGTTCAGTGCAAAGGTAACCCATGTGGGGGTGTTGAACTCGAAGGACTTCAAAGAGGTCTTCAGCGTGTCCTTGAACCGCTTCTTTTGTCCTCGATGGGAGCGCTTTCTCTGAGTGAGTTCTCCGTAGAAGAGCTGTTAGGAATGCGTTCGTCTGACATTCTCACGACATGTCCGGCCCACCTGGTCTGGGCTCTCATCAGCAATGTGTGAACTGACGGCAGACTGGCTCTAGTAAGGACATCAGTATCGGGCACTTTGTCCTGCCATCTGATTTTTAG